ATGGCCTCATCAGGGATGTAATGCTTCTCCATCCTATTTTGAGGACTTCTAAAACTGTAATTTTACACGACTGCCAATACAAACCCACGAGTTACCCTTCCTCTTTTTCAGACTTGAGATAATGCTGTGGGCTGTGAACATGCATGTGAACATGTGTAATAATAAATACAAGATACTGATTAACTCAATATCTATGAATTCATGTAAGTGTAGCTGGAATATTATTAATCAGATGAGTTATTTGAATTTGCATATATAAGTTCTACTAGAGAAAACTCAGAAGCTGACAAATGCTCTAATATTCTTTTTTTAATCTATAAAGCTGTTAAAGTTCAGCAAACCCCTTAATCTAGCCAAAGCTGACTAAAATGAAACATAACCCTCCTGAAACCCAAGCAAAGCATCCTGGTTCAGATAAACTGGGCCATAAATGTCAAAGGATTTACTTGCTGTCTTCAAATCAGGAAGACTCCATTAGACTAGAGAGCACTGACTAGAACAGGCTTTAAATTTTGGTAAGTTCAAAACTCAGTCATTTCATATTTTTAAGAAGAGCATATTAAATTTTGACCTGCAGGTATTTCAAATTTAATTAAGGTTTCTTTGTCCTTCATAACAACTTGTTTATGGAGATGCAAACTGGCTGGCTCCAGCTGGCAGTGGCAGGCATAGGAGGATGTCATTTTCCCAACTTGTACTTTTTCTACCCAAGCCCTGCCTATTACAATTTCCCACAGATAAGCAATGTGCAGCCCCATGTTTTAACGGTGTACATGTAATCCTCTAAAGCTTGCACGGTGTGAAAAACTTGTTTACCATCATTTCACTAATGCAAAGAGGCAATTGCCACTTCCATGTTCAGCTGCTACAAAAACTAGTTTAGGTTCAGAAGAGAAATCTAAAATGGTCAGAGTAAAAAAGGCACAACTGAGGACAGAGGTCCTTGACTCCTCCATCTTCTAGACAGACCTCCAAGACAGATCTGTTGTATCAGAGCCATGATAAAAACCCCTCAAATTCCCACCCCTTCCCCTGCACAACATATAATCACTAGAAACACGATGTCCAAATGTTCTCAGTGTTGCAAACATGGTCCAGATGATTAGAATAGCTCTTAATGATCAGAAATTGTATCTAATTATGACTCTAGTAAAAGGCTGCTGTACACAAAACAAACACTAACACAAAACCAAATTGCAAAGCAAAGCCTGACCTTAACTGGTACCCCTGGAACCACATTGGCTGGTTAATGAGTACCACACAGCATTCAGCTTTTTGCACATTCTGTTAGTGTACTCTGAAAAGCCAATATATTAAAGAGATGTCAGCTTCACTAATTACTTTAAGAATTTAAATAAATTGCATACAGAACTGTGTACTGTACAAGTCAGATGGAACCTAAAAGACCAGCTTTAAAAAGGAAGAGCTGTGTTGTAAAACATTTAGCTTCAGGTTTTATAAAGGCAGAAAGACCAGGGCTTAAAAGCTTCACCTACAAATGTCTCCAGAAAGCTGAGAATAGCCTTACACTCCAAAACAATAATTTAATAAAACTCCCACTCCACTGCTTGTATCCAATCATATTTGACAATTTAGTTATGATTCTTCACAACACATGGAACACTGATTCTTGTTTAGGGGACCTAGTGCAAAATTTCTCATCTTGGTCCAACTCAGTAAGCTACTCTAAATACTGGCACATGCACCAACATGTTCCTTACCACATTTTCCTTTATGTGTCTGCAGAGTGCTTACCACATTTCTGTTGTTCCATGGGGGAAAACCAGAAGTCACCACACAAAACACTATTTCTTAGTCTTACAACAGAACTAAGGAGTAAGAGAGAACTCAGCTACTTTAAATGAAGTTTGGACATGAGCTCATTTTCAGCATTCCTGCTGTAGAACTGAACTAGAGCTTGACAAGAGATGTCAGTGTCTATATCCAAAAATCTCTGCCTTCCTAGAATACAATTTCAAGATACCTAAATGCTTGTTAGTATTAGTGTTGCTAAACTAACTGAAGGTCAGGATGTTACAGAAGTCATTGCACAGTTGATGCTCTACCCATCTAGCCACATCCTGACAGCAAGCAAATAATTCACAGATTGGTTTTACTTCAAATTTAACCAACAAGCCTAGAAATGTTTTTCCACAACCACGTTCTTGTGCAAAAAGCCAACTCAAGTCTTCTTTCCTGTCCCCATGTTCCACTGCACCACCTCTCTCAGTTGTGTTGATGCAGTTGTTTGTGAGACAATACTGAAAACCAACAATGATGCTCAGCTAAGAAAGTGGGGCTGCGAGGTTGTGGGGGTTGGGTTTTTAAAATAATGAAGTATCACTGCTCAGCCACATCCCTGGCTGGTTTTGAGCATTACTCTGGCAATGCTTGTACTGACATGGATGATGAGCAACCAAAGTAGCAGCTTTCCAAATTTTGCCCCTAGAGAGAAGTCCTGACCTACTAAATCAGAAGAAACCATGAGGTGATCTAGTCCCCTGTACAGAAAGCACCTCTGCCATGACTGGCCACTGCAAATCTCCAGAGGTGCATCTTTCATGCTTCTCATCAAAACAGGATTCCTTACTAGTTGTACTTATTCCTCACCCTTACTAGCTGTTCCTAAAAGCTCCCATTCCTGAAAGTACTCTGCAGATGAACTGTGATTCATGCTGCACTGAAATTCCTCTTAATCCACAGGACCTTTGCTTTGTCAAACAAAGCTCCTCTGCTGGGTGAGCAACTGTTAAAACTTCTTTAAAACAATATTTAAAAGCATTAATGATCAGAGTGTGGCATAAAATCCCCCAGTACTTTTTACATTCAGCCATTATGAAGCCATTTCCTTGCTCTGACAGGTGATACACATCAGATGGCGCACGGCCAGCCCTGGTGGTGTTTTAGTTTAGTTTCAAACCCTCTGTCTTTGGAGGTGCTGGCCAAACGTGGCCTTTGCTGCAAAAATCACTTGGAAGATCTTCTCTGGAGCAAGTTTCTTCCTGATCCCTGACTTTGCAAACTGATTTATGCAGAGAGATACTTTTGTGGAGAGGCATTTAAGTCAGATCAATGTGCAGGATCCACATCTCACCCATCAATGCACTTCAAAATAGCTCAAGCAATAAAGCTGCATATTATTTGTAACATGCAGGATATGACATTATTGTATATTCCTGGACTCCTACCCATGGCAAGATGCTGCACCTTCATGACAGGATCCATCACTCAAATTGCTTCAGCATGTTCTGGAAAACCCCAGTCTTCCAACTGAAACTGCTGCCTTGCTAAAGAAAGGGGGAAGCTCAAAGGATGCTTTGGAGATACTGGTATTATAAAATGGAACAAAAACTTTAGGAAGGTCTTCAGGTAGGGAGCCCCTTCACTTGCAGAATAAAGGCTGCATACCAGGAACATGAACTAAGGTGCACAAGAGATCCATCCAAATATCCAGGCTGTGATCACAATGTCAAGCTGGCAGCCTCCACAGAACAACTAACAGCATTCCCAGTCTACAAAAATCTAAAGTCAAATCAATCTCTTCCTGCAGATCTCCACTGTAGCATAAACTGGAATCCTAACAGCAAGTATTTTAGTTTTAAAATAAACAACTGTATATATTTACTGCTCTTAGTCCCTCCTTGATTTATACACTAGAAAAAAGGCCTCCAAGGCATTAACGAAAGGATTCATGTTGCAGTCTTACAAAAGGAAAAACTGAGTTGTTGCCAATCTTTTTTTTTTTAAACAAGCACCATCTTGGAAGTGCAATTAGCAGCTAAAAGTACATGTTAAGCATTTAAACAGCTTTTTCTTTGGGACTTGCCTAAGCATTTGTAAACTCTCAAAGATGTCAGCTGCAGAAATTGCTCCATGTAGAAACTGAGAGTGCAGGTCCCCAAGTTTATGCCAAGGTTCCCTTGTTGAGTGGACTTGTACAGCCCAATTTCAATGTAAGAACATAAATTATGTCACTTAACACAATGCTAATAATCTTGCAGGCTATTGTACAATAATCACACTTCCAAGTGTGAAGCACCAACACTTTAGAAGGAACAAAACAGATGAAACCCTGCAGTGACTCAGCTTGAGCAATTTATGCATAAAGCTTTCAAAATTACACCATGGAGAAGGCTAAATTTAGGCTGGAATCAGTAATGGCAGTGTTTTGACATGGGAAGTAGTGTAAAACCTCAATATATGGATTGAAAATCCCAGATACTTTGTATGCAACTGGGCATGGCTCAACCTCTGTCTCATGCAACTAGAACTAAAATCGGGTGGTTGGGTCTGTGGAGAATATTCTTGTGGTGTTTTAAGGCCACTGGCAGCTTTGTAAAGCCCATTGTACACAACTGTAATCTTGCAATACTACATACACTTCCTGAAAATAGAAATAAGTGTCAATTCTTGTACATCCCTTCAATTCCGAAGACTGAAGGCATTCTCATTCCTAAAGAATTCTGTGTAGCAACTTTGCCTAATGTGGCCCTGTTTGAGACTGGGATGTAATGCTCAGACTGCACATACAAAACTGTACAGCCAAAAGCACGTGACAAAAACAGATAATAATTTAAAATTCACCAGTCTGTTAGCAAACAGAACCAGGGCCTCTGCAACAGGGCCTGCACAAGTGGATGAAGAATTCTGGTTCACCACATGGACTCCTGGCACAGTGGTGAGCCAAACAGCATGGCACAGTGTGCTACGAGCACTAATATTTAAGTTTTTTGGCAACAGATTAACAGAACCAATTTTTTATACAGCCACACTTTCAAATATAGACTCTTTTGTTCATATGCTGGGAAAGAATTTTTAGTTTGCTCGGTCTTGGAACCATTTTGAAGACAGTTTCCACCACAAACATTGCACTTGGTTAAAATAATGTCTTACTAACATCTAGTACAGCCCTATCTTGAAAAGGTACCATGCTCATTCAATTTGTGACCCTTCAGAACATGTTTTCAAGTCTTCATGTACAAAATGTCAAATGTATTTACCTGCCCCTGCAGTATTACAGTTTCATCTATCTTTATATTTCAATTCTTCCTCTAAAACTCAAGCACAGTAAACAGCCTGAACATGAGACTGTATTCAGAGTTCAACTTCAGATTGCAAACAGAAAAGATGCTTGGTAGGATCCTTTTTAAACACGGGCTGATCCAAACGATTCAGGTGAAAAGTGAACAAAGAGTTAATCCAAATGCGAAGGGCTCCATTTCAGTAATAGCATGAATAAACCCCCACAGAAGGCTTCATTGCTAGCAGCAAACTCCACAGAGTCCAGATGAACCAGCAGGAAGAACAGAGGGCGGATAATCCTGTAAAATTACCCCAGTGGAAATGTTGATAAATTCCCAATTACGAGACCTGCTCTAGAATGAAAAGAAATGCGAGATACAATATAATTACCAGTCAACACTTGCACATCTTTGTATTTAAGCCAGACAAATACCACAGGTATTTCTTAATCCCTTGGATTTTGAATTAGTTACCCACTGTGCTGAAATCTAGATTATGAAAATAAGCCCCAGAAATCAAATGAAAAAAACAGGCAATCTGCAACTCTAGTTACAAAGCAAATACCCATCCATGAATTCCTATTTACAGTGATGCAATTTTCTATGCGTTTGTGGAAATACAGATGGCTGTATTAAAAAACAAACAAACAAAAAAACAAAACAAAAAAAAACACAGAACAAAAAAAGCCAACAAAACGTTTAGCTTACTGAATTTGTTTTGAATATAGTTCTTGCATTACACAAAGCAAAGCAGTAAAGAATCAGGTTAGAGAAGATCTCTAAGATCATCAAGTCCAACCTAGGACTACAACCTATATGAATTTTTAATGTTTGTGGAAAAAATGCTGATAAAATACGTGTTCACCATAGATACCAAGACACAGACAGGTGCATTAGATATCTCCTTTTCTAAAGCCGTGTCTGATCCCAGGCTTATCGCTCTCCATAAAATTCTGGAGGAGGAAAGGCTGTCCTGTGAGCCCCAGCACGGACTGGGGGGTGCGGGAGCTGCCCACCGCCCGCTCTCCCGCACGATGCGGTTCGGCGGGCAGCCCAGGCGCTCATTCCCCGTGCCGCAGCCGAGGCAGGGACCCCGCTCGGACCCCGCCCGGTTACGGACCGACGCCGGGGCCACCGCGATGGCGATTCCAGCCCCACCGCCCTCCGCCCCAATTCCCTCTGTTTATCCCTGCATGCGCCTGTCCCGCGGCCGCGCGCGCCCGCCCCCCGCGCCTCCCCATTGGCCACCGTCGCTGTCACTCACAGCCCCTGCGGCTCCGCATTGGCCGCCGCTGCTGCCACTCAGGGCTCCCGCCCGCCCCGCCGCTCCCTCCGCCGGAACGAGCGAGCGGCGCTCCGGCCCCGGCGCCAGCGCGGCCGCGGCTCCCGCTGCCGGCGGGGCGGGGAGGGACGGACGGACGGACGGAGGGCGGGCGGCTGCCGCGGCTCCTTCCGGAGCAGGCGAAGCGCTCCGCTGACAGGCAGCGCTGCCGCCCCTCGGTGCGCGCCCAGCCAGGCGGATCGGCCTTCTGGGAGGCAGCGGCGCGGGGCGCCGTGCGTGGAGGGTGGACGGGCAGTTCCCCCGATTGATGTCATTTCCCTCGGCCTTTTGTTAAAAATTATTTTAAACTCAATTGCACGGCGAGGGGAAAAAAAAAAAAAAAAGCCAACAAAAACAACAAAACCTACCAGCACCAGTAATAATAACAACAACAACAAAACCAAAAAAACAACTTCAGGCTTCCAGATGCCATTTTACTAATTTCTCTTAATTGCCTCTCGATGCAAACACAGCCGGGCTCCTGCGCGGCGCCGCCCGGCCCGGCTCCCTCCCAGCCTCCTTCCCTGCCTCCCGCTCGCCGGTGGGCGCTCGCGGGGCTCGGCCCGGCCGTGCGGAGCCCCCTCCCCGCCGCCCCCGCTTCCAAAGCCGCCGTTCCCCGCCGCCTCCCCGGCCGCGGAGCCTCCTCCGGGCGTCCTCGCAGCAGCGACTGCCCAGGCCCAGCACACCCCCCCGGAACCCCCCCACGTCCAGAGGGGCCTCGGGCCCCCCTGACACCCCCAAACGTCGCGGCGCGGGGGCTTCTCCCCGCCGAGCCCGGGGGTCCCCCCTGGCCGTGCTAGCGCCGGTCCCCCCTCAGCGCGCTCCTCCCGCAGCGCTGCCCCCCCACCCCCCCGGGCAGAGCCCCCCGCTCCGGGCCGGGCGCCGGGGCCGCCCCTACCTGTGGCTGCAGCATCCCCGTCCCCCCGCCGCCCTCGCTCCGCCGCCTGCCTGGCTCTTTGTTTCCTGCCGCGGGCCGGACGGGAGAGCGGCTCCCCCCCGCCTCCTCCTCACACTCATTGAAAGCAAACAAGCATCATGGCGGCGCTGGCGGCGGCGGCGGCTGCGGGCGGGCCGGCCCCCCTCCTCCGCCTCCTCCTCCTCCTCCTCCTTCCTCTCCTCCTCCTCCTCCTCCTCCTCCTGCTCTCCGCTCCGCTCCGCTCCGCTCCGCTCTCCGCCCCACCTGCCCAGGCCGCCCGCACTGCGCGCACGCTCCGCGGCCGCGGAGGGAGGCCGGGGAGGGGCGGCAGGGCCGGGGGGAGATGCGGAGGCAGGAGTTGGGAGCGGATTTGGGGGTACGGCTCAGGAAAAGTGGGTGAAAGTAACGGGGGGGCTGCGGAGGGAGGCTGGAGCATGCAAGTGGGGCATGGCAGGTAAGGGGCTCCCAGCAGGAGCCCAAGGAAGGCGAATGGGAATAGTCACTTGTTTGGAAAAGAACTTTTAAATTCTCCTGAAAAAGGCCAAGTGGGGAACTCAGCCTTGAAGTGGATGAGCTCAGAGACGATGTGGGTGATAGGCCAAACGCTTTTTAGGAAAGACAACATGTCTTCTATGTTTGTGTTTTTAATGGGAAACCAGTGCCTTGGATCTTTCCCTGCGACACACTCCGGAACAATGTTTACTGTGAAATGTCCCCCAAAATTGCCCGCAGCACCTTCTTGAAACTCTCATTGTGGCTCACGTAATTTTCTCCATGAACTGATTATTGCATGCAAACCAAGATATTTAGAAAAATAAAGTACGTTCTCATTAAGTGTTATTATTACTGTCCCTGCACAACAGGAATTTATGATGAGAGATGCCAAGTAAAATGATGGTGGGGAAGTGCCATCCGTGGTGTAATACTAGCAAAACACCTAAATAATGACTTCCAAATTAAGGATTTTGTCAGTTTTTCAGAGGGTTAAAATGCTGAAGCATTGATGATGCTACAGCAAATGAACACTTGGTACACACCACTTCATCCAAAGGAACAGTGAAAACAAAAACATTGTCCCAGATACCCAGAACTGTCCCAGAGCGCTGTTTATGATCTTGGAAAGCTGAATAGGAATTGAGGCCTGCATTTAGGTATGAGTGGATATGTAGCTGGAAATGAATGGCACTCACACTGTTGTGCAGCGAGGCATTCTCTTTGAACTCAGTGTGAAAGAGGATGGTGCCAGGTCCAGCTTCTGAGGAGCACCACCCCCATCCGTGGAGGTCAATGCTTTGGAAAACATGACCCTGGCACGCTGCTGACTAAACCTGCTCACAGAACGCCCTCCACGGAAGGGTTGACACTTGGCTGGAAATAATCCTGCTATACTTCAGATTTCTGCTCAGCCTTATCATATCATATATCTGAAATGCTCTTGGATGATAAACTATCTCCTCTCCACATGGTGCAGTCCTGTGCTAAGATATCCGAGCCTGCTCCATTACGGATGCGCACGGGCTCCGGCAGAATGCCGTATCTGCTTCCCTGAGCTGGCTGGCTCTGGAGAGCTGACAGTCATTCACAACTGACTCCAGTAGCTCTACTTGTCATTCTCCTGCACTGCATGACTTTTCTTTCTGATAAGCAGCTGTCCTGGACATTCTTCAGTTAATACTTTCTGGGTCAGATATGGCCTCAGTAGACCATATCATTTTGCCCAGAGCTAATTCTCCAAAAGCAGTAGGAAAGCCTTTGAATACGTTGCAGGATTTTCCAGGAATTGCTGCTCAGCAAAGAAAATTCAGTTGATCATAAGTCTCTCGAAAAATGCTTGCAGGGAACCTTCATTCCTCAGGGATGGATGCTGGGGTAATAGTACATTAAACATGGAAAGGTCTACTGACAAAGGCCTGCAACACTGCAAGTGGAGAACCAAGGCAGAAAATAATTCTCAAATAACTGAGATAAGCAAATGAGAACATTAGAGAAAATATTTTAAAAGCAATTACAAACAATCCTGTATAGATTAACAGATCACTGCAATTTGGCAGATTTCAAGTTAGTGAACTTTATTATGATTTTACAGGTTATTTATAAAAAAAGTCAATATTTGGAGAGCCTAAAGTTACAGCCTTTTATGTCAACAATTTTTTTCAACCGCCAGCTTGTGTGGTTTGAAAGAGCAGAATGAAGTAAAAACAGGTATGTGGGGGTTTTTTTTAGAAACTGTTATGTTCCACTGAATTTCCTGTGCAGCAGTGCTATTGCTCATCTGTACGTCTGATTAACTTTTGCTCCCTGAAAGTGTTATCAGACCTGTAACCAGGCAAACAGCGGAGCAGATGGCCAGTGCCAGTATCGGTGTTTCTGGTCTGGGTGCTTAATGAGATCTGAGAGTGTAACATGAGCCTCTTTCATTTTGTCTGTCTCACATGGCAGATATACTTGGTGCAAGTGCTCTGGTTGCTCAAGGTCACAGATTCATCAATCAAGAGAGAGCCCTTCCCATTAATCTTTTACCTGCCCATGACAGTTCCATACATCTCAGGAGCTGCCAAGTCACACTGAGTGCTGTTGTCCTGAGTTTGGAACAGGAGTGCTGCAAAAGACAACCAGGTTAAGCAGGAATTGACCACTGTTTAAAACACAATATTAGATGTACTGTACTCTGAGTGTAAGTTTTCATTCATTAACTCTAAACCAAAAATGCCTTTTTGTGCTGTGGAATAAGCCTTCAGCTGCGCCAGATCTCCTGTACCACACAATTGCATGTCCCACACTACTCAGGTGAATGTCCTACAACATTTCTCAGCTTACACTTGGAGATAGAAGTATTTGCTGTGAGTAGTTTAAAAAAATCTCAGTACCCCCCATCATCTCCTCTCTGAATGCACACATCCAAGTGGCGCTGGGAGTGTGCCTGGGAGGCCTCAGGGAGGACACTGGGTCCCTTTGACCAACATTTACAGCTGGTTCAAGGTTCTGGTGCCTCTGTGCACTGACAGAGGGATGTGAAACTTGTGGTAGAGAGTTGTCTTTGTGGCAGAGCAATGGTACTTTTTT